GACACGTCCCATCGCAGTGATCTTGGGACCATATTCTCTTTGACTTATTTTTTTTTCAAAAAGGAAATATCCCACAAAGTCCTAATTTCTGATGTAGCAAGATTTTGCAGATGTAGGAAGAGACCATGTAGATCACAGGTGTCAAACTGGTGGCCCTCCAGCTGTTGGAAAACAAGTCCCATGAAGCATTGCAAGATTGACAGTTATAAGCATGACTCCCACAGGCAGAGGCATGATGGAACTTGTAGTTTTGCAACATCTGGTGGGTCGCCAGTTTGACACCCCTGATTTAGATTATCTGCTTCCTCTTCATAAGTAAAAACTTCATCTGAGATGACAAATTTCTTTGATCTTAATTCAGAAATATCCATCTCTCTTTATTTTATATTAAAAGCAAACAAAAAAACAACGGTGCCTGGCAGCTCAACTAATAGGGGTAAGACAAAAATGGAAAGAATAGGTAGATGGTGAGCACACAAGCAAAGGCAGCAGCTCGCACAAAAGGATAACCCGCTATGTCCTCAGTGATAAAAAAAGGAAAGGGAGTACAGCACTCATAAAGAAATATGATAATCAATAACTCAATGCTATAGCGTAATAAAATGAAGGTGGAGCCCCCTTTTGGTTTGCTGATGGTGGAACGGTTTGCTGGAAGAATCTCCTACTCTGGTATATGCCTGCTGCGCTTCTGGTGAGTGCATTATAAAGGAGGATTTGTCATGGATTCACACATCACCTGACGTCATAATCACTTCCTTTAGACTTTATATTTGGAATTATTTATCACTCTATTTTCATTGATTATATTTACTGGATTGTTCACCTACTGTCATGATACTGGTTTTTTTTTTTGTCACTTATGCGCTGTCATTTCAGCGTGGCACAGTTTTTATATTATTTATTTGCTCGCTATACACCTTGTTCCAAATTATTATGCAAATTATATTTTTCTCATTTACCTAAATAATTGATGTAAATAACAGTCAGCATAATTCTCATGTTATCAACTATTAAGAGTACAATTCAAATTTTATTGAACAAACCTCCTAATGATAACAGGATTTTTTTTAAACATAAAAAACTTCCAATGCACTGTTCCAAAATATTCCGCACAGTAAGTTTCAAAACACTTAATAGGTTGTAAAGAACTGAAAATTGTCATTTGTTGTGTTTGCAGCATATTTACTGAAATCAAAAGCTATTTCAACTTTCAAAGCTATTTTAACTTTTTAAACATTTTAACAGGTCACGTTACATTGTAACATAGGACCCCTTATTTGATAGCAGCTTCACAAGTCTTGCATCCATTGAACTTGTGAGTTTTTGGACAGTTTCTGCTTGAATTTGTTTGCAAGATGTCAGAATAGCCTCCCAGAGCTGATGTTTTTATGTAAACTGCCTCCCAACCTCATAGATCTTTTGCTTGAGGATGCTCCAAAGGTTCTCAATAGGATTGAGGTCAGGGGAGGATGGAGGCCACACCATGACTTTCTCTCCTTTTATCCCCATAGTAGCCATTGATGCAGAGGTATTCTTTGCAGCATGAGATGGTGCATTGTCATGCATGAAGATTATTATTATTATTATTATACAGTATATAGCAACAAAGGGTATTCTCAGCGCTGTACATTAGCAAGGGGGACAGAACATGAGACAAGACAGTAACAATACAATACACGAGGGGTTCGAGGGCCCTGCTCTTTCGAGCTTACAATCTAGGATGATTTTATTACTGAAAGCATAGTTCTTCCTTCTGTACCAGGGAAGAAAGTGGTCAGTCATAAACTCCACATACTTTGCAGAGGTCATCTTTACACCTTTGGGGACCCTAAAGGGGCCGACCAGCTCTATTCCCATGATTCCGGCCCAAAACATGACTCCACCACCGCCTTGCTGACGTCGCAGCCTTGTTGGAACAGGGTGGCCGTCCACCAACCATCCACTACTCCATCCATCTGGACCATCCAGGGTTGCACGGCACTCATCGTGAACAGGACTGTTTGAAAATTAGTCTTCATGTATTTTTCTGCCCAATGCAGCCGTTTCTGCTTGTGAGCATTGGTTAGTGGTGGCCGAATAGAAGGTTTTATGCACAGTTGCAAGACTCTGGAGGACTCTACACCTTGATGTCCGTGGGACTCCAGAGGCACCAGCAGCTTCAAATATCTGTTTGCTGCTATGTAATGGTATTTTAGCAGCTGCTTTCTTGATCCGATGCATGGATCTGGCAGAAATCTTCCTCAATGTGCCTTTATCTGCATGAACCCGTCTGTGCTCCGAATCAGCCACAAATCTCTTAATAGTGCGATGATCACGCTTAAGTTTTCGTGAAATATCTAATGTTTTCATACCTCATCCAAGGCATTGAACTATTTCACTCTTTTCGGCAGCAGAGAGATCCTTTTTCTTCCCCATATTGCTTGAAAATGGTGCTCTGCTTAATAATGTGGAACACCCTCCTTTAGTATTTTTTCCTTAAATTGGGCTCACTGGCCAATCTCTAATTATCACAGGTGTCCGAGATTGTTTTTAGTGATCAAAAGAGCCCTGACACACAATGCCATCCATGAGTTACACTGAAAAACAAAATATTTAATCTTTGTGACACTTAAATAGAATTTACATAATAATTTTGAACAGGGTATAGTGTGGTTTTAGGGCGCTTCACCTATAATACCTGTTGTGCTTATTCACTTACAGTCACCAGTTATTGTATTCATTTTATTACGCTATAGCATTGAGTTAGTAATTATATTTCTTTATAAGTGCTGCACTTTCTTTTCCTTTTTTATCACTTTGAGGATATGGCAGGTTATCCTTTTGTGCGAGCTGCTACTTTTGCTTGTGCGCTCAATGTCTACCTATTCTAGAGCACGGGTGTCAAACTGGTGGCCCTCCAGCTATTGTCAAACTACGAGTCCCATGAGGCATTGCAAGATTGACAGTTACAAGCATGGCTTTCAAAGGTAGAGGCATGATGGGACTTGTAGTTTCCCAACAGCTGGAAGGCTGCCAGTTTGACACCCCTGCACTAGAGGGTGTTTTTTTGCATGAAAGTCTGAGACGTGACTTTGCATCTATTGACAAAATGCCTATAACACTATTTTCAATCAATATGTTTCTGCTGCCAATATATGCAACAAATGTAGTGCATGCACTACTTTTCAAAAACGCACATCTCCCAGAATGCATGGTATCATGTGATCCAGTGCAGGCAAACGAACTGTGCTTGTGATCTGTGTTTGGGGTGTCCTTAGAAATACAGTGACACAGCAGATCGCACACCCAGTGCGTTTGGAACACGGTGCAGGAGACATTCAAGGAATGGGAGTTTCCCACACCGCATTCTGGTGTGAACAGGCACTGAATGATCATTTAATGCTTGCAGTGTTTTTCCACAAATGGGTGCAACATGTAACCTATTTCAGAGGTGAACTTATCCTTTAAGCTCAACCCGGGCAAATTTTCTTGCTTGGTCTCCCACCACTCAATATGTCAAAGGAAAGGATGCCAAAAGACGGACTTTACATGTGTTAACAGCTACCGGATGTCTGATTGTCATCCAATGGCGACAGATACAAAGACAAACTTGATATACACTCTTGTATGCAAAAGATCAAACTTATGGAAGTTCTCATGGCCGGGCTAAATAATATGTTTTGTAGCTATGAAAGGGTTTGGAACCCATGGACCTTCTTTGAGGCTTCCACCTAAGATGTCTCATAGCCACCGTTCTGTCCCTTTCCATGTCCCCTGCTGCCTTCTACTGACCTTTCCCTCTTTACTCAAACTTTTGTGTGTTTTTTTTTTTTTTTAAAGTGTTACTTAATCCAGGACTCTGCATTCACTATGTCTGGTCTCCCCGGACCCTGCATTCACTATATCTGGTCTCCCACAGTACACAAAACATGGAAATGCAATAATTTTAGTAAATATAAACTGCTAAATACCTTTTCTCATCAGCAGTCTTGTGACTTCTACCAGTGTCCAGCAGAGCACTGGGTAAAGCTTGTAGGAGGAGTTTTCATTCTGCTCTAGGAGGATGCAGAACCCCTGACCTCTGTCTGGACAGTGATGATTGGCCCTGTGCTGATCACATGTACTCTCCCAAGAAAAACAAAAACAACCTCTCTAGTAATACACACCAAACTGAGCATGTGCAGAGTGACTTCACACAATCTGTCTTATCAGGTGATAAGAGGGGGACAAATTGTATTTCGGGGTGGGGACAAACTGATCTAAAATGTGGGAAACCGAAAGTGTGATTGATGACATAGGGGGGAATTTACTAAAACTAGAGCACTCAGTATCTGGTGCTGCTGTGCATAGTAGCCAATCGGCTTCTAACTTCAGCTTGTTCAGCAGCTAAGCTAGAACAATAAAACCTGTTTTGTTTTTTTTTTTGTTTTTTTTTTGTTTTACATGCAGCGCTGCACCAGATTTTGCACCATGCAGTTTTAGTAAGTAACCCTCATATATGATCACCTAAAACTATAAATAAGGCTCATCAAGTTTTGGCTTGGCTGTCAGACTTCAATATCCATATCATTCTGTACAGATTGTAATAGAATGTTCTTGTGATCATGTTCTGATTATTTACACTGGTCAGATCATGTTGGGAGTTATAATATTCCCTGCCCATAAATTATAATGGAAATGTTCTGCCATCATGCCCTGTGTTCAGATCAGGGTAAGTATGTATGTTTTTGGTGTCCATCAGTGGATTATTAAAAGTGGTCCCTAAGCTCTGCTTTTAACTTTTTTTTTTGGGGTGTTTTTTGATAGTCCAAGCAATCAGTTCAACTGGTTGTTGTGTTGTATGCACAATTATTATTTTTGCTTTTCTGTCTAATAATAAAATATTTGTAAAAAAATTTTAATTAAAGGACGTGACAGATGTGTTAAAGCTGGAATTCTGTAGTTGTAATTATAGGGTGGAAATGAAAAATTAACCTTTTTTTCTTTTTTGTCTTTGCAGCTTTAAGGTGGTTTCAGAAGACATGGCAGCTTACACCACTTGCAGCATTGTTTTACCTGCTGTCCGATCCCGGTAAGAGATAGATAAAGTATTTTCAAACGTAAAGTGGAAATTTACCCATAACAACTTGTTAAAAAATTATTTTCTTTAGCAAGGAACATACATTCCACATTAATAATTATGTGACCAAAATTGGTGTGTGCTGAAAATTTCATCCGGCATTGTTCCTGTTTCAATTTGCTGAATGTTTCCATTTTGCTGAAGCCAACAGTCCTGAGCAGCTGTAAATCTTTAGGCTGTAGCAGATCAGCCTCTAGATTTTCAGCACAGTGCCTTAAAATAGAGAGCAACTGAGCATGTGCAGAACAGGAAGAGCTAGTGTAAAACAGGAGCCTATACTGTTTAAACCTCAGTAATACTGTTTTCCATAGCTTTACGTGCAAAACGGGCCAGCCTAAAGTGATCTAGCAGGACTTAGTTTTCCGATTAAAGTTCCACTTTAGAGTGGACCTTTCACTAACTTTACAAGTGCATAAATGTTTAATACATGACGCAATAAACGGCAACAGTATAATTTTTTAAAACAGCTTAAATCCAAATATCGACCTAAATTGACTTTAATTTTGCCCTGCCTCCTCCTCTTCCTCGGGTCATGGAAGAACCTTGCAGCACATCTGCACACTTACAGGATCCCCATGTGAATGCACAATGGTGGGGCTGTCATGAATTTCCCAAACTTGCATTGTATGTGTACAAAATCCCCTGCTCTTGCAAAGATGTGCCAAAGGGCTGTGCCAGGACATAAAGGTTGGGCACAGCCTCGGCAAAAGCTGTTGTGCCAGGACCATGACTGCATCTGCAGTCATGATCCTAGTATCGGTTTTCTCAGCCGGCAATTGGCTTTCATTTAAAAGTAATCCAGAGCGGCTTTACAGCTGTCTGATCAGAGTTACAAAAGTTTTATCCATTTTTAAATCCTAGGTTCAACTGTTCGATCTATTTTTAAACTCTGGGCTCAGCTGTGCGATCTACACTGCTCAAAAAAATTAAAAGAATGCTTTGAAAACACATCAGATCTCAATGGGGAAAAATATCATGTTTAATATGTATACTGATATGGGCTGGGTAATGTGTTAGGAATGTAAGGATGCCCCTTCATTTGATGGTAATGAAAATTATCCACCTACAGAGGACTGAATTTAAGGACACTTTGAAAATCAAAGTGAAAAAATGATACAGCAGGCTAGTCCATTTTGCTGAAACTTCATTGCAGCAACTCAAAATGGTACTCAGTAGTTTGTATGGCCCCCACATTCTTTAATGCATGTCTGACAATGTTGGGGCATGCTCCTAATGAGATGATGGATGGTGTCCTGGGGTATTTCCTCCCAGATCTGGACCAAGGCATCACTGAGCCCCTGGACAGTCTGAGATGCAACCTGGCAGTGTCGGATGGACCGAAACATGATATCCCAGAGGTGTTCTATTGGATTTAGGTCAGGCGAGTGTGGGGACCATTCAATGGTATCAATTCCTTCATCCTCCAGGAACTGCCTGCATACTCTCTCCACATGACGCCGGGCATTGTCGTGCACCAGGAGGAACCCAGGACCCACTGCACCAGTGTAGGGTCTGACAATGGGTCCAATGATTTCATCCCGATACTTAATGGCAGTCAGGGTACCATTGTCTAGCCTGTAGAGGTCTGTATGTCCCTCCATGGATATGCCTCCCCAGATCATCACTGGCCCACCACCAAAATGGTTATGCTGAACAATGTTACAGGCAGCATAAAGTTCTCCACGGCTTCTAGAGACCCTTTCATGTCTGTCACGTGTTCAGGGTGAACCTGCTCTCATCTGTGAAAGCACAGGGCGCTAGTGGCGGACCTGCCAATTCTGCTGTTGGCAAATGCCAATCGAGCTCTATGGTGCCAGGCAGTGAGCACAGGGCCCACTAAAGGACATTGGGCCCTCAGGCCACCCCCATGAAGTCTGTTTGATTGTTTGGTCAGAGACATTCACACCAGTGGCCTGCTGGAAGTCATTTTGTAGAGCTCTGACAGTGCTCATCCTGTTCCTCCTGGCACAAAGGAGCAAATACTAGTTCTGATGGGTTAAGGACTTTCTATGGCCCTATCCACCTCTTAACTGCCTGTCTCCTGGAATCTCCTCCATGCTCTTGAGAATGTGCTGGGAGACACCGCAAACCTTCTGGCAATGACACGTATTGATGTACCATCCTGGAGAAATTGGACTGCCTGTGCAACAACCTCTGTAGGATCCAGGTATCACCTCATGCCTTCAGTAGTGACACTGACCCTAGCCAAATGCAAAACTAGTGAAAAACAGTCAGAAAAGATGAATAGGGAAAAGAATATCAGTGGCCTCCACCTGTAAAACCATTCCTGTTTTGGGGGTTGTCTCATTGTTGCCTATCTAGTGCACCTTTTGTTAATTGCATTAACACCAAAGCAGCTGAAACTGATTAACAACCCCCTCTGCTATTTAACTGACCAGATCAATATCCCAGGAGTTTAATTGACTTGATGCTAGACTCTGATTAAAAAGTGTTCTTTTAATTTTTTTGAGCGGTTTATTTTTTAATCCTGGGCTCAACTGTCAATTCATTTTTTCATCCTTTGCTCAGTTGTGAAGTCTATTTTTATAGCCTGGGTTCAACTATTCGATCTGTTTTTAAATCCTAGGTTCAGCTTTGTGATCTATTTTTAAATACTGGGCTCAACTGTGTAATCTATTTTTAAATCCTGGGCTTAGCTATTTGATCTGTTTTTTAAATCCTGGGTTCAACTGTGCGACCTGTTTCTAAATTCTGGGCTGTTTTTAAATCCTGGATTCCACTGTTCAATCTATTTTTAAATCATAGACTGTTTTTTTAAATCCAGGTCTTAGCTGTTTGATATATTTTTAAATCCTGGGTTCAACTGTGTGATCTGATTGTAATTCCTGGTCTGTTTTTAAATCCTGGGCTCAACTGTCCAATCTACAGTATGTTTAACCCTTTGGCTGCAGCCACCAGAATTGTGTATAAAACTGAAAAGGAGACTCCTGCCCATTTGTGGGCCCAGGGCCGACATGGCGGGTGGAGGGAAGAGTCGAGAGCAGACACACGTCTGCTCTCCTTCCCTTCTTGCTGTGACCCGGAAAGCGACATGTATGACGTCACTTATGGGTCACCCTGTCACACTTCCTGGCTAGAATAGCTAGGGAGGAATGGATTGCAATGTGATCTGCATTGTAATACATTCAGTGGAGCCCAGAGGAGACATGCAGGGTCTTTTATACTAAATATATACTGTATTAAAGAGAACATGTCACCTAAAAATCATCACATCTGGGACTTTGTGTCTCCTATGTGATTAAAAAAAGTTAAGCAAAAAAAAAGTTTTTCATTGCAAAAAAAATAGTTACACCCAAGCATAAAACCACCCCACCACCCAGAACAAAAATTTGAGGCCCCCTCCAACCCACACATATGCGCATTTACGAATTTAAATGCACATGTCGAAGGCACCTACGTGTGAAAACGTTGATTGCGATACACGTGTTAAATATTACTGGAGTGAGAGCAATAATTGTAGCACACGTCTTCCTTCGAACACCAAACTGATGAACTGTAGGGGCTTTGAAGCATTGCCTATAGAAAATTTAGGGTAAGGGTACTGAAGTTTGTCGCTCTTTCACAGGTGCACACAAATTTAAGATTTTACATGTTTCATATCTATTTGCTCTTGTGCAACCTCATCTTTTATATTTTACCAAAATTTGGATAATTTGTTGCGTTTGTTTGCCCTAAAAATTCACTTTTCGTGTGTTTTTTACTGAAATTATGGGTTTCTTAGACATTCGTGGTAATATCGTGAAACATAAAAAATTGGATCTACCGCTATATTATTCTCTAGGGTGTCTACTTTCAGGAAATATATCATGTTTGGGGGTTTTGTGTAATCTTCAGGCTCAAAATGATTTTTTTAAACGTATGTGCCAAAACTCTGGCAGCGAAAGGGTAAATACTTAGTTCAACTGTTCGATCTATTTTTAAATCCTAGATCCTTGTAGTCCAATGAGGCTAGACTTCCAGGAACACACCTACTAATATAAGCAAATAATCCCAACACTTATCAGTGCTAACCAATCAGCTGATGTGAAAAAGACTACTTTGTACTGAGACCCACACAGTTGGTGGACTGGACAAGTGAACTTGGTCACTGAAGGCAAAGTACCTTTACAGAAGGGACCATAACACTATACCTGGACTAACATTACACCAACTGAGATGCATGTGTGAATTTAGACATAAGCAATGTAAAAGTTACATAAGGCCATGCGCTCCTCCTCTCATGACAGTTCTTGGGCCTTTGGAGAAGTAGGAAGAGTATACCATGTTCCCCAATACCTGGGTGTTACATGGTTTCCCATACCTAGGTGTTTCTTGGTTTGGCAATGTACCATAATGGCAGGGAGGGTGAATGTTTAGTGCTTACAGTCCTTCCTGTTAAGTGGAACTTTTTACTTTGTGTAGTATGGGCAACATACAAGTTTAGACCTTTTTTTTTTTTTTCTTTAATCTCCCCTCCCCTTCACAGGTGTTTTTATAATTTTCTGCAATTGTAATCTTTTTTGGAAATATGTAGTCTTCTTGGGGAAATCCTTGTACTGCATCTACGCATTTTCACTGACCTGACAAATTTGATTCTTCATCTGCCTCTTGATGACTTTTACAATTTTGTAAAAGAAGAAAAAAATATCAGATGGTTACAAAAAGTTGACAACTGTTAAATTAAATGGACTGTCTGGTACAGTGATGTGTACACTCGTCCACACTCATCCTCTAGTCCAAAACCTAAATAACATGCAATTGGTGAACATGACATCCGATTATATTCCTGTGAGGATCCCATGGGGAGTTTCCTTGGCAGGAGATTTAAGGCTGCTGCCATCTTTCATGGCCATTTTTCCATATTTTGCTTTGGTATTACAGGCAGGGTCTATAGAGGATGGAAAAGAAATGGTGATGGCATGGGGCTGGCTACAGTTCTCCAACTATTAAAGTGTTTTGCTTTATTTGTTGAGAAACAGTTGTGAATTCTGCTACTTCTGATTATATTTTCTTTACTGATACTGCACTATAAACAATAATCTCATCGGTCTGCTTCTAAATCCACAGGGTCTCCTGTCTTGTACTACAGAAGAAATGCTGCCCTGTCTACACCTCCATATCCTTCAACCAAAATAGCTGGTTACCTCCCCTTTCAAGCTGTCGGGCGCCCTTCACGTTGCCCTACCTCTCCACATGTGACCGGAATTACCATACGTCTATGTTACGACTCCAGAATTTACCTCCACCGGATCCTCCTACACAGTCGCCTCCTACACCGGAGCCTGAGCAAGCTCCGCAAATTGTGCGCAAGTCATTGGGCCAGAGAGTGGTGGATGAAATTAAACACTTTTATCACGGCTTCCGATTGCTCTGGATTGACACCAAAACGGCTGCGCGAATGGTTTGGAGGCTTTTACATGGGCAGGTGCTGAGCAGGAGAGAAAGGAGAAGGGTAGGTTGTTAAGATGTTCCTCAAAAGTGCATTTGAATATAAAAGGCTCCATGATATGGAAGTACGTATTTGGAGGACAAGCCTCCTGTTTGGACCAAAGCAACCTATTACACCCACCACATTTTTAATCTACTGTGGGAGAAAGAGTGTTTGATAGTTGAAACCAAAGCTTTGATGTATCCGTAGGTAAATGTATCCCTAGGTAAAATTAACCTGACCCTGTCTTTAGTTATACATTGATCTTTGCAGAGCTCTTTGAATTCTAAGCCCCTAGGGCCTCGACTTTTGTAAAACTCATAAAGTGTAGCCAAACCAATTTTCCTCAGTTTTGGTTAGTGTGGGGAACATTATTGCCATCTGTGGCCCCACTCCATGATCCCTTCTCTCTATTGTTATGACATTGTCACAGAGACAAAAAGTGATCCAAAATTCCGACTGTATCCAAAAAAAAGGTTAAATTATTATACAGTACATACACTTTTAAACTCAACCTCCTACTGAAACTAAATCTGTCATCTGTCAGTCAACTCCTAAAGTGGAACTGCGCTTAAAAAAACTAAAGTATGAACAGGCTGGCTCTTTTTTCCCAATAGAGGTATGCTATGCTGCTTCTGAAATAAAAGAACTTACCTGCCTGCTACATTCTTGGAATTAATTGATTCCTGTGTACATTTGCAAGAGCTGCAACATTCCTGGCTGGCCACTCAAGGCAGCCCAGAAGCAACCAAGAAGATGCTGGAGAAGAAATTTGCGAATTTTGCATCTGAGTATTTGCAGGATTTACTTCTAAAATAAGTGGCAGATCCTCTACTGCTCACTGAGGTTCTGGAATTTGAAAGTTGAATGCCAGGTGGAAAAGTTTAGTGGGTGAAACTGCTTATTAATTTTTAGAGACGTTGATACCCTGTGTACAGTCTAGTGCTTGGATTGGATCCAGGGGGCTTTGCAGAAGCACAGAAATTGATGTGGAGACACGGCAGGGTGCCTGCACTTCAGCACTGTTGCTAAAGACAGGTCACTATAAAGCGATACTGTAGTCCTCAGAGTTGTGATAATGTGCAAGTGTCAACAGCGTATTAGCATGTTATGGCAGACTCTACTACCGGTTATCCTTCTCCAGTGATAACCATGCTGCCGTCCTCACTCCAGTTTACTTGGATGGCCACTTGTGAGGTAACACTTGTGAGGTCCCTGGCACATGGCAATATTCTTTCCATCTCACAGAGAATTTGTTTTTTTGGTTAATTATTTAACAGAAGAGACATGCAAAGCCTCCTATTATTTTATAATTTTTTTGCAAGTAACGGTCCATTTCAACATCACTGAATTTTCCACTAAGGCCAGCTGCGCTTTTGCTACAGTGCAGCTAATCCGTGGTTTTCATGCAGGTTAGCTTCACTTTCCAATAGACTTCTATGAGGTCCTGCGGTTTTAGTGTGCACCAAACTCCTGCAAGCTGCATCTTTGGTTCACTTTCTGAAACTGCACCAAAATTGCAGGACATCATAGAAGTCTATAGGAAAGCCTAAGTAACCTGCACAAAATGTATGGGTTAGCAGTGTTTTGCCCAAAGTATAGCAGGACCACATTTGGGCAGTGTGAAGCCATCCTAACCCATAACTGGTGTGATTCTCCAGCAACCAGCAGCTTCAAACTTTCACTGAAAAATGACTTACTTTCTAAAAGTTTGAATCAAGTGGTATTCACTGCCAGATACACCAGGCTAAAGCCAGCCATAGAGGGAGCAAATGTCTGCCGATTCAGCAGAGACTGGCCGAGATTTGATAGATCTATGGGCAGGCTGCTTACACCCAAGTCAATCCATCAAGTGACTTGGGTACAACCAGCCTGTCGGATTTTTGTACATATGATTGCTGCTGGTAGCTATAGCAGCTAACAGTAATCATTATGTTCTGCTGGCCAGGAAGGCTCCCTGGCAGCAGAAGCCAATAGGAGGGATTCCCCCATCAACACTGATTGTACAGATGTAGGGACTAAAGAGATTTTCTTTGAAAGAAATTGCATATACCATGGGCTTCATTAGTACCTAGACTCTGCAAAGGTCAAAACTGTGGATTAGATTATAGCAGACATTTTGCTGGTTTTCACCTTTCTCATGCTGAAAACGAATCTGATTGCTGCGAGTCGCTACTCGTCTCTGCTATATACTAATATTCTCTAACATTATTAATAAATCGTAAAGTCCCTGATTACAATGTAGTGACAGTTGTGTGTTTTGTTTATAGCTGATGAGAACCTGTGCAGATCTTTTCCGACTGGTGCCGTTTATGGTGTTTGTTATTGTCCCCTTCATGGAGTTTCTTCTGCCTGTCTTTCTGAAGCTCTTCCCGGAAATGTTACCGTCTACTTTTGAGACAGAATCCAAAAAGGTCAGTTAGACTTGAGCAACAAATCCATTTACTAGATGTCCTCCCAATATTCTGAATGCATTTGTTGGTTTTTTTTTTTTTTCCTTTACGTTGCTATTACAATGTGTTCTGCCATCTCAGGAAGGGTAAATAGTGCACGTTCTTGACCAGCAGAGGCTGCTTTGTGAGATAATGCTGATGAGTGTTGCCTAGATGTACAGTGTTATCCAGAAGGGTTCAGGAAAATTTCCACAAATATACTAGAAAATTGCTATAAGGGCTCATGCACACTGCAGCTGATAAACTCACGTTCAGGAGCTGTTCAGCGTTTTTTTCAGCAGCCCCTGAACTCTCCTTTGTTTTCCTATGTGTCCATGTACACATCTTTGTTTACAGTCGTTTACAGGCATTTGAGTTTGCAGTCGTTTTTTTTTTTTTTTTTTTTTTTTTTAAACGCAACAAACTTGCGTTCAGAAGTTGATTTTTATCAGAGTTTCAAACGCAAACCTCTGGTAAACGCGGCAAATCACATTTATAAGCATTTGCTTTTGAATTTTTGAACTCTTCCTGTTCCCAATGCTGTCCAGAGCCTTTTTTCCCATCATGAAAAATTCATGCGAAGAGTTTTCAAGGTGCTCAGATGGACAAAACACTTAACACAGGAAGTTCCTACCAAGCTTGTCGCACATTGTAATGACCCGTTCACACCTCAGACCTCTCCCACCCTTGGAAACAAAAATGTTAATGAGCAATTCACACCTAATTATCTCAACACATACTGCTGTCTCTGCTTCTAATGTGTGTATTTCTCTGAAACAGTCTGAAATAGTTAATAATTTACCACTTTTCAGTGCATTCTGGGTATTTGGGAGGTTCTCCTGTGCTTATCTTTAAAAAATGCTTCTAAACGCAAACGCACAGAAACGCGTTATGCAAACGCGGCTAAACAGACTTTTTTTAACCTACGTTTTCCAGCAGTCAGTTTCCATCGTTCAGAGACGTCCCATGTACATGGGGCCCAAGTGTTATTATTTTTATGATACCAGGTTTCTTTTTAGTGCCGACAGTTTAAGCAGCACTTTACAAATGTTTGGGAGCTGGAACAGTAATAGGATAAGAGGGGGGGTGGAGCCTGACTATGGCGGCTCGGAAGAGTGGGTAGCAAACACTCTCCGTTAGCCTCCCCTCGTCTATCCTCCCCATGAGGCCCCGATAGAGAGACCAGAGAGACCAGCTGCATGGAGGGGTGAGCGGTAACTCACCCGCTGGAGAGAGGTCGCGGAGTTCCGGGGACGGTTGCGCTGCTGGGACCCAGGAGAGTGCCGGAGAGAGAGCCGGAGGGGGGACGCTTTGGGGTTCTCCACTGGCGACCGCCGGCGCCTGCAGAAGAGGAGTGGAGTTGCCGGGGAGACGGTCGGAGCCTGGATCCAGGAGAGAGCCGGGAGAAGGACGCCTCGTGTTTTCCTCTGGCGTCTCGTGGCGGCTTCGGAGGAGGAGTAGGGTTGCCAGGGAGACGCCAGTGAGACGGTCGAGGCATTGGAGCGGCCCCGACACGTGGGAAGCCGCGGAGGAGCTCTGGGAGCTCCGAGTGTGATAAAGAGAGAGACTGCCCGGCATCTGAACAAGAGGGTGAAGAGGTGGAAGGTAAATTACATATTGCCCCACAATATACTATAATAGTCTCAGCTGCTTACCGTCGCCCTGTCTCCTCTATCCATCGTCCTGTCTCCTCTATCTACCCCCACCTCTAAACTATCTACATACCATACCAGCTCTACAGTCTACAGTCTAACAATTTCATATTATCACCTTCTCAATACGGCTAAACCCTCCAACTTCCATATTTCTCCTATCTCTGTTATATTATTAACCCGTGTTGTATACTGCGCTGTATACCACCTATAATCTAAGGAGACATGTGATGAGAAGATAAATCATAGGAGTTATATGAGACCCCTAGGAATCCCTTCAAGAGGAGACTAGAGGACACAATTACAGAGGAGGAACGCTTCTGGAGTGAAGTTCCAACGTGGAGGGTGAGTGATGACCGCGGGTTTTCCTGCAGGTCCTCTGTAACACTCTTTATACATTGGACTTGTATATTAGACTTTTATACGCATTGAGTTCACGTACTAGATTCCTATGTGCCTATAATAAGACATTGTATTAAATATTCAATCTGAAAAATAAAAGAAAAAGGAGATTCCTAGGGCGGGTCTGAAGATTGGGAGGAGTAAGAGAACAGGAGTTCCTTGAAATAAGAGTAAAAAGTTTCAAAAACAATATGAAAGGTAAAAATACCAAAGGGAGCGGGCCTAAGAACACCCAAACTGGTACGATTAAGAAGTATGTGTTACAAGGAAATGTTACCCCAGAAAGAACTCAGGGAATAAGTGAAAAAAGTGATTTGGAAATAAGCTTGGATAATAGCCCGAGACTTTCCCTGGGCCCAGTATATAATAGTCAAATGGAAGGTACGGAACCGAGAGATCTTGAAAGAGATTTGCAAATACCTAATAAAAAAGAAATGGCGGAAATGTTTAAAGGCTTGGAAAAATCAATAAAGCAGGAGATGGGGATGATCCGCGAAGACTTGGGACAATTGTTAACTAGGGTGGAGGAAATAGAGGAGAAGGTTCAGGCCAATGCCCAGGCCATCCCAAAATTAGAGAAGTGGATAACGGAAGATAGAAAAGAACAAAAGAGATTACTTTATATGATGGAAGATCAACAAAATAGAGAAAGGAGAAATAATCTCAGAGTAAGAGGAGTCCCGGAACTGACACAGGGGGAAGATTTAAAAGAGCTAACTGCCAAAATTTTGATCTCCATAATGGATAAATCGGATGAGGAGATGCTAAAATTGGATGAAGTATACAGGATTGGGAAATATCATCAAGAAAAAGGGGTAGAAAAACCAAGGGATATAATTGTGAAACTCCATAACTACGGAGATAGAGAAGAGATATGGAAAAAGATTAAAGGAAGAACAAATATTACATACGAAGGAAAAAATATTCAAATTTTTGCAGATTTAACAGCAGAGACTCTGAGAAGGAAAAGATCACTGAAACCCCTACTAGAAGTGATGAAAAAACATAATGTGAAATACAGATGGGGCCGGGACATAAGTTTAATTGGGTGGAGGGATGGAACTACAGCTATATTAAGATCTCCGGAAGATATGGAAGACTTTTGTGATAAATTTGGACTGCAGAGACAAGAGATACCTGGTTGGGAAGTGGGGGATGGAGAGGTGGACAGCTGTGGGTCAAGAATGTGGCAGCTGGTTAAAAGAGGAAATAGAGAAACAATAGATAAGGGGACACCGGGGAGGAGGGGGGGAAGGTGAGCGGTCATGGTCAGAGTCGAACCCCTATAGAGGGATCAGAGGTGGAAAATGATCCGAAGGCATAGGAGGCCTGGGGGGGATGGGGAGGTGGGAGGTTGGGGGGGGGGGGGAGATCTCAGGGGGGGAGGGTTAGGGAGGACGGGGTTTTTAGGGGCAACACTCTGCATAATGGAAGAGAAAGAGATAGGAAAAGAGAGAGAGGATAAGATATGATAGATGGAAGATCTCCGATTTTATAACTTATAATGTAAAGGGATTGAACTGTCCTGGGAAGAGTTTTAAATTATTTAAGGAGCTACAGCATAGGGAGGCTTCGGTGGTATTTCTGCAGGAGACACACCTAGAGATTAAGTCAAATATAAAGTTGTACTCTAGAAATTATCCAACATGGTTTTATGCGGATTCCCCAATCAAGAGAGCTAAGGGAGTAGCAATAGGGATTGCAAAAAATGTAAGGCTGGAGATAGACGAGAGAGAGGTAGATCCTGAGGGGAGATTTCTGTTCTTAAAGGGTAGATTACAAGAGCAAGAATGTACAATTGTAAATATCTACTGCCCAAATAAAAGACCAGAAGTTTTTCTGAAGGGTGTCCTGAGAAAACTGATGGCCTTTAAGAAGGGACGTTTGATAGTGGCAGGGGATTTGAATTTTTGTATGGACCCACAAATGGATACGACATCTTCTGTGCAAAGAGAGGGAGGTAAAGCTTTGAGAATCCTGAAGAGGGTGATCCATGAGTGTCAACTGGTGGATATTTGGAGAGTGATTCATGGAAAAGAGAGAGATTATACCTTCTTCTCCAAAGCACACGAGATGTACTCCAGATTGGATTATATATTAGTAGATCACCAGCTTATAGATTTGGTGGATAAAGTAGAGATAGAGGCGATGTCTTTTTCGGATCATGCCCCTGTTTCACTGAAAATGAGGTGGAGAAGACGATTGACAGGTGGGATAGGTTGGAAGTTGAACGAGGCTCTCCTCCTGGATCAGGAGGTGGATCGAAAACTTAGAGAAGAGATTGAAAGATACTTTCAAGAGAATGAGACAGGGGAGGTGTCGGTGGCTACAGTGTGGGAGGCCCATAAGGCTTATATAAGAGGTATCCTGATTGCGTCCGGGGCAAAAAAGAAAAGGGAAAGAAGAGAAAAACTTACTGGGTTGTTAAAAGAAATAGCTGAGTTAGAGCAGTTACATAAAAATAAAAGATCAAAAAAGATAAGACAGAAGGTGATAAAAAAGAACTAGAGCTACTGATGGAGGAGGAGAAGAGAAGAGTCTTTAATAAAGTTGCAAGTGAGAGATATAAATGGGGAGATAAACCAGGAAAATATTTAATGAGAGCCTTGAGGAAAAAAAAAAATAGGAATTATATAGAGAAAATAAAAAACTCCAAGGGGGAAATGGTTTACTCTACTAAAGAGATCATCGAGGTGTTTAAAGAATATTACAGCAAGCTATATAATATTGCCTCCCAAGACCCAGTAATTATAAACGGAAATGAGAGAAGAGAGAAAAGAAGGGAATATTTAAAAAAGGCAGGATTACCGAAGTTAAGTAATGATCAACTGAATTCCCTTGATTTGGAAATCACACAGGAAGAAATAATAAGAGCATTAAAGAATACTTCGACGGGGAAAAGCCCGGGCCCAGATGGTTACACAGTGA